TAGAGTCATGTTACTGCAAAGCCATTTAAACTTCTTCATCTCCTCCCTCAAGGTCCATAGAGCTGTCTCTGGGTTCTTCAACAAGCCCATTACCAACTTGGAATCCCCTTCAACCACTTGCTTGTTGAAATTTAACTGTCTTACCAACTTGGAATCCCCTTCAACCAACTTGGAATCCCCTTCAACCAGCCCATTACCATGGATATCCACAAGAAGCTCAGCTCTAGCTGAATCTCCCACACCATCCGGACCAGAGCTCAGCTCTTTGTTCCTAAATACACCTCCAATTCTTAGGGGCCCTGGATTGCCTAAACTGCTACCATCAAAATTAAATTTAATAAAATCTTCTTCAAGAGTGATCCAAGAGGAAATAGACTTATCCTTCCTTGAAGAGCTTTTGGCCACTAAACCCCAATTCCTCCAAATATCATCAAAGGAGAAATGTGAAACAAGTCCAAGGTTTTCACCCAATGTATCACCCTGATAGCTGTACACTTTCCCACCTCTAATGATGTTGTCCACAAAAAAGCGATCAAAGATGTCCAACATTTTAATCCAATGGACCACTTTCACCATTATGAATTCTATTGTTCTTCTTTTGTTCTTTCTTTCACCTTAAATATTCTCTCATTTCTTCCCACCAATGCAGTCCACAACATTACAACTATAGTGCACTTCCTTCTTGATGCAGGACCTACACAAAAAGCAGCTAATTAGGAGGCTGGAATGGGCCCTATGGAAGCTGGAAAAAGGCCAACAAAGCCTCAGCTTTCTGGTTGGATCTTAACCTTGACTTGTTCGACAAAGTAGACTGGACAGAACTTGAAAAGATTGAATAATCACTAGACAAGTAAGCAGAATTGAAAATAGGGTGAAGGGGGGCTGATTTCAAATAAGCTTGCAAACTGTTTATATCAAGAGGAGAACCATCAATCCACCCAAGGAATTCTCAACAGCAAGCTTAATCAGATCAGTTAGCAAGAAGACTAAGTGTCATGGGAATTCCAACCTTCCTGAGCTTATTTGGAAGGTTCAATATGATCATAAGGAAGTTATTATGCAAAGAGAGAGACTCAGGTTCTTGGTAAAAGTAGGCACATTTCATATAAAGGTCTGAATTTTCAATCCTTACATATGGTTGATTATTTTGAGCTGTAATCAGCATATCAGGTCATTTGGAGCCAAGTTTCATGTGCTTAACAGTTATATTCATTTGATGTAAGGAGGGGTAACTGGCTCCACTAAATTTGGTCAAGTTGGTGTAACTAGCATTCTGATAACTAGTTGGCTGCAAGTCATTGGGTGAAGGGTGGAGCAGTGGCTGCGAGCCCTTAGGTGTGAAGGGCAGAGCAGTGGTGTAAAGGTTTGGCTAGCTTCTATGGAACTTGCTGGTTAGTAGAAATTCTCAAGGGGGTTCCTTGGGGAGTGGATGTAGGTCAGGTGGGGCAGACCACTATAAATCTTTGTGTCCTCGTACTTGAGATGCCTTTTGCTTTATTCTTTCCGAGATTTAGTCTAAGGATCATCTTAAAAGTAAAAAAGACTCTAACTATCACTAGTTAGAATCACGTTATTTCAAAACTAGTCATTCCAATGATAAGGTACATCCTAATTAACAATAATTAAGGGGATATTGTTAATAGGAATGACAATTCTGTCCAGGAGAGTAGGAACATCAAGCCTAGGTCTCTACCATCACTATCTTGACTGAACCATTCATGAGAAAGGGTTGGACCTAATATGTTTACCCAAGCTGCAGTTATAACAGTCAAGAATACAATGTAGGAACATAAATTAAAAATGGAATTAAAATTGAAATTGTAGGAAGGATCGGCCTACAACCCAATCCCCCCCCCCTTGAGTTGTCTTTCTAGGCAACATGTTTGTCTAATCATGGATATATCTACTATTAGACAATGGGACATTCATCAGATGGATGTTAAGAATGCCTTCTTGCATGGGCATTTGAAGGAGAGAGACGACATGAAACCACCTCCAAGGTACTGTGATAATCTTAAGTTGGTCTGTCATTTAAAGAAATCTCTTTGTGATCTCAAGTAAGCATCTCAGGCATGGTTTGAGAAGTTTTACAATGTGATTTACTGATGCTGGTTTCATATAGAGTTCATCTGATCACTCTATTTTTACTCTTCAGCAGCCTCAAGGCCTGACAGTATGCTAATAATATCATCATTACTAGAGATGATGGTAAGGGAATTGTACAAGAAGGAATTTCTAAGTCAATCATTTAAGATGAAGGATCTTGAACCGTTGACATATTTTTGGGGCTTGGAAGTGACTTGCACTTCCCGTGGATGCTTTGTGAATCAGTAAAAATATGCTATGGGTCTTGTCAACCTTGTTAATCTAACTGATTATTAAGTAGAAAGATACACCTTTGGAAGTAAATCCGAAACTGTCTAAGGATAATGGACAGCCTCTTCATGATGCTACTATGTACCAGCAGCTTGGGAGTAGCCTCATCTCTCTCATCATGACACAACCAAACATATCCTATGTTGTCCAGGTCAAACCCTGAAACACCTAATTTTTTGCATATCGGTGACCAACCGATACAGGTTGATACATTGCAAAATTTTAATCCTTGAGAAGACTATCCACTAGCCATACAATGGAACATATATGAGGAGAAAGAACCCAATTTGGTCTTTTCTTTTGAAGCCATTCACAAGAACCAATTCTCAAATGAAAGCCTCCCACCAAAAAGGTTCTGATCTTAGGTGGAATAGGTTTACACCAAATCTCATTCATCATAAATGTCTGTGCTTTGCTAAAAGGGAGGACAAAAGGCACAAGTGAAGGAGACACAGAGGAAGACAAAAGCTTAGGAACCGTCAATCCTTGGCACGAAACAACATCATTACCCATATACTGAGCCAAGCTTTCAAGACTATAGTCTCAATTTCTATATATCAATTATTGTTGTATCATAACCCTTCACTTGATACCAATCCCCAATAATTGGGTCATACCTCAAAATTTATATTCTGACAAATGGCATGTTTGTTGAGTTGAGTTAGTTGAATTAGACTACAAAATGAGATCTGTTAGGATGCAAAATGATGGAAAATTTGAAATGTCATCAGAGAAAAAAAAATGTCAAAAAAACAGTTTTGAATTTCTGTAAACATAAACTGGCATCCACCAAATCCTGCTAAATTCAATAATCATACCAATATGATAATCAGTTCAGTTAAAAGATGGTTACAGGTACATATGCACAACAATCAACATATACATTTAGTTCACTCACCCCATACAGGTCTTCTGCTTGCAACATTGAGACTTGAGTCTCAATTGCCACAACCACAAGTTCATTTTTGTTTGTTTTGAGAAAAGATAAAGTATAATTGTATTAATCTTCAAAAGCCAACACCCATGCACAACAACAGACTGTACACTGGGGAATATACAAAAAGATTGCTGTATAACCTCTGATTTTTTTTTATTTCTTTTTGAAGGGGCTACACAACGGGAGGTAGCCCATCCCGCAACCCATAACCCCCCCAACCCAGGTGCAGGCAGGATTTGACCCCAAGTCTCCGCTACGGCCAGCAGGAGACCTTACCAACCCACTGGTTGGCACCTTGCTATAACCTCTGATTAATTACAAAATAAGAAGCTCCATCAAAAAAAAAATTATCAGTAGGCCTTCACAAGGAATTTGAGGCCAACTAAGACAAAAGCACCCCCTTGACTTTCCTGGCCACAGATATTTCCTCACTAAACTTGTTATCAAATATTTGACTATTTCTACAAGTTCATTTTAGTATCATCATTGGATCAGTAACAGTAATGTCACAACCATGCACTATTATTAACAACACTCACACCACGCATGAAAAGGAATGTTGCAGAAAAATAAATAAATAAATAAACAAGAAAAGAAAGGCTCACAGCAGAAAATAACACGGGGTAACATATGGAGGACAAAAATACCTTGCAGATTCAAATTTTTTGCTTGGAAGGTTTATTGGGACAGAATTCAAATACGAGATAAACTACATTTTATGAAGGTCAAAGAACAGACTTGTCTTTTTTGTCACAGAAAAAGAGACTTTGAATCATCTCTTATTCACGCATGCCTATGCCAGAGCAATCTCGTTTAAATTATAGGTGGGAATCAATCCAAAGGCAACAAAAGAGAAGCTTGTTCATGAAATTTTATAAGATTGGCTTCAAAATAAGTTGGACTCTGAATCTAAGGGTCAACAATAACTTTTATTGACCAAGGCATTGATAGCCTTTAGGCTAATATGAGATGCTAGAAACAAAATTCCACATGAAAACAAAGTGATGCATCCAAGGAGACTCTTAGACAGTATATATACATGCCACACCAATCTCATAAGCTAAATCAGACACAACAGCCTCTTGTATTGACAGATGACTATGGTAATGGAGAATATGTATGTTGATGGATCTTATATGTACCAAACTGGGACAGATACATTTAGCTAAGTGTTAATGTCAAATAATGGTGCAGGGTATCCTTGCATGGCCTGAGAGGCATCTGAAGCGGAATAGAAGGCCCTAATAGCAGTTTTACAGGAAGCAAGGAGAAGAAAGATCAGCGTTTTATCTGTTTTATCTGATGCTCGGCATATGGTGCAGCTTGTAAATATGAAGACAATGAAATATGCGTGGATGGAGAAGATACATCTTGACGAAATACGTTGTCTACTTATATGCGTGGTTGGAGAAAGAAAGATCAGCGTTTTATCTGTTTTATCTGTTGCTCAGCATATGGTGCAGCTTGTAAATATGAAGACAATGAAATATGCTTGGATGGAGAAGATACATCTTGACAAAATACCTTGTCTACTTAGTTTTCATAAATGTAATATAAGTTATAAAGAGAACTATGAATGTATCGACCCATAACATAACCTATAAAGTATGTAAGGAGGGGGTAGMTAGACAGTTTCAAATCCCTCCCGATGGTATGGATGTAAATTTGTTTAGTGGAAGGGGCTCACCTGGAGCATAGAAGCTCAACATCCTGTTGGCATGGTACCTACACAAAGAACCAAGAAAAACCAAGTAAGCTAGACAATTTGCTAATCCATATTGGGGTGACCAGTTATCTGTGAAAAAAGTATAGACGAGACACAGATCAATGTCCAGCATAGCTGGTTGGATTCAAAGACACACATGATAGGCATCCACAGAATAAACTATTAACATTCTAGAAAATGAGAACGAAGTAGAAGAAAACAAGTAAGGGAGAGAGATATATTCAGGAATCAAGAATACAGTTACAATGTATATCCAACCAGGGGATGCAATTGGAGTTCGGCTTGATAATGTTGTTCGGGACCCTCTTGTTAAGATCTCTGAGGATCTCCTCTAGCGGGCGCATAAAGCAGGGCGAGTTGTCTAGAGGTACCACATAATTCGAGTTAGGCACGGCCGCTTTCTTACCAGCGTTGCTACCGCTACTGTTCTTGTCCAGAGCCCATACCACCGGCGAAGGTACCCGGATACTTCTCCGCTGAGAAATCCGAAGCTCATTAGAAAAGGAGCAGAAAGAGGAAGAGATTGTCAAAATGCGATTGTTCGCGAGGAAAATCGGGTTTTGCAAGGCCATAACGACGACCGGATTATTGAAGAATGAAGATACAGAAGAGGAGATGGAAAAAATGAGAAAGGGATAATTTTACCGACATGGGTGCAACTTCGGCGGGTCCAACCCGAACTAGCTCGAGTTTTTGCACTGGTTGGGCCTAAGTTTTATAGAGCTGCGGGCTGGGCCTCGGCCAGAAAATTAAGGCCTCACCTAAACTTGGGTTTGGGTTGGTTGACATCTCTGGTGGAGTGCTCTTGGTAGTCAATGCCGGTGGTTGATTCATCATTGAAAGTGTGAAGCCTTTGGGCCGGGGAACCTCCTGCCGAAATTGTTTCTCTTCATCGCCCACTCTTCCCTCCAACAGCGCCAACTGAAAGACCTTAGTGAGTGAAGAAAGCTCAAATCTCCACGCCTGCTTGCACCTTCGGTTTGAGCCCTGCCACGAAGCATCCAATTAGGAAGTCCTCGCTCAAGCCTTTAATCCTGCTTGATAGGAGCTGAAATTGGTCGAGGTATTACTGTATTAACCCTGATTGGTTGATCTTCGCCAACCTCCCTGCCACGTTTGCTCGCTGGAGCCTATTATACCTTCTATGCAACGCAAAGGATCGAATCTTAGTAGGTATAAATACAACCGTAAGGAGATATCGGGGATGAGGAAAAACTGTAATTTCTTATTCTGATATCGCAGTATTTATAATTACAACAAAGGTGATCGGTTGTGGTGTAACAACCCTGCAACCGACTAAGTACAAGTGGGCCACATGGCTAAACTGCACGTGGGCCCAAGATTAATCTTAACACCCCCCCTTCAATTTGGAGCGTCAAAAAGCGTTAAGACACCCAATTTGGAGCAGAGATGATGAAATTTTTTTGTGGGAAGAGCCTTTGTGAGGAGATCAGCTGGCTGAGAAGAGCTCGATAAGTGATGAATCTATAAGGAGCCATTTTGCACTTGTTCATGAATGAAATGACAGTCAATTTCAATGTGTTTCGTTCTTTCATGAAAAACTGGATTGGTTGCTATGTGAAGTGTTGTCGTGTTGTCGTGCTGTCACAGTGCAGTTGCATAGGTGACGAAAGTTGAATGGTGAGATCAACTAAGAGATGTCGAAGCCAAACTAATTCGGCTATGACAGAGACCATTGCTCGGTATTCTACTTCTTCCGAGGAACGAGAGACTGTCAGCTGCTTCTTGGTTTTCTAAGATAGAGGAGACGAGACGAGCAAGGTGATGTAGCTAGTGGTTGATCATCAGGTGACAGGGCAACTAGCCCAGTCAGAATCAAAGTATCCATTGAGAAAAAATGTTGCTATTGCTCGGAAGATATATGACATGCAATAGAGTGCCTTTGAGATACCGAACAACGCATAAGGCAGCATCAAGATGCTCTTGACAAGGCTCATGTATATGTTGACTGAGACAATTTACAACAAACGAGAGATCGGGCCTAGTTATTGTGAGGTAAACTAAATGGTCCATGAGTCTGCGATAAGATGAAGGGTCAACCACGATGGGGCTGGAAGGGTCATCAAAATGGTGTTGGGCCTCCATGGGTGTTGGTGATGGTTTGTAGTCTTGCATCCCGGTGTCATTGAGAATATTAGTGATGTATTTATGTTGACTGAGAAATATGCCATCAACCAAACGATGGACTTCGAGTCCCAAAAAATATTTTTGGGGGCCAAGATCTTTGGTTTTGAACCTATCGTCCATGAACTGCTTGAGAGATGTGATTCATGTAGAATCATTTCCAGTTAGGAGAACATCATCAAAATATATTAGTGCAGCTATGAAGGAGTCACTCGAAGTCAATGTAAAGAGAGAATAGTCAGCATGTGATTGCTTGAAGCCCAAAGAGAGAAGGGCTTGAGTAAGCTTTTCAAACCACATGCGGGATGCCTGTTTGAGGCCATAGAGGGATTTTTGTAATTTTCATACTCTATGTTCTCCTCCTCAAGCAAAACCTTGAGGAATGGTCATATATACTTCCTCATGAATATTACCATGTAGAAAAATATTATTAACATCGAATTGGTGAATTTCCCAATTTCTTATTGCAGCCATTGCCAATAGACACCGCACTGTGACTAATTTTGCTACTAGTGCAAAGGTGTCATGGTAATCCAATCCTTCAGCCTAGGTACATCCTTTAGCCACAAGATGAGCTTTGAACCTCTCGATAGAGCCATCCGCTTTGTATTTAATTTTATACACCCATTTTGAACCAAGTGGACGCTTTCCTGGGGGCAAGTTCACAAGAATCCAAGTATTGTTGTGCTCTAGGACTTAGATTTCATTTGCCATGGTTTGGCGCCATCGGGGATCCCTGTTGGCTTGAGTGAAAGTGGTTGGTTCAGATTCTATATGAGAAGAAACAGCCTAGGTCTAATGTGCCAAAGATGGTGGTAGGTTGATGACATAATCTTAGAGGTGAGTGGGGTTTCTAGTTGTGTGCTTGGATCGGACATTGTGTTGAATGTTATCAACAGTAGACGGCTGGTTGCTGATTATGGATTGGGGATCAACAGATGTTGGATTGGGTAGTAGGATGGGTTGTGTTTAGTCAATTGTGGGCTAGACTTCAGGTTGTGAAGGTGGTGGAATAGGTGTGTCATCAGATGTGGGGTTGGGGGATGGAAAAATGCATGGTTCAGGAATGGTGGTGGGAGATTGTTGGTTCTTGAAAGGGAATTGAGACTCATAGAATATGACATCTCGTGCAATGAATAGTTGGTGTAACTCAAAGTTATATAGTTTGCATCCCTTTTGGCCATAAGGATATCCAACAAAGGCACATCGGATGGCTCTACTAGCAAATTTATCATAAAGTTTGGGGCGGACCTGCACATAACATAGACACCCAAAAGACTTCATGTGATCATAACAGGGTGGTTTTTGGAACAGGACTTCATATGGTGACTTGTTTGAGAGCAAAGGGGTTGGTAAGCGGTTGATRATATAGATCGTGGTTTGTAAGAACTCACCCCAAAATGATATAGGCATGTAGGCATGGAATCGGAGAGCTCTGAAAACTTCTAGTAAATGGCGATGTTCTCGTTCAGCAATACCATTCTATTGCGGCGTGTCGACGCCACTGCGTTGAAGTTCAATCCCTTGTGTGATAAGGAATTATTGCAAGGGGCATGAATGAAATTCAGACCCATTATCTAAACGGAGAACTTGGAGTGTGTGTTCAAACTGTCGAGGCACCATTGCACAAAATAAAAGAAGAAAAGATACAACATCTGATTTATTTCGAAGTAGATAAACCCAAGTACATTTGCTAAAGTCATCAACCAATGTAAGAAAGTATCTGGCTCCACTATGAGATAGTGTCTTATAACCTCTCCAAATGTCGCAATGGAGTAATTGAAATGGCCGAGAAGACATGGACTAGCTGATGGAGAACAAAAGTCGAGTTTGTTTGCTCTGTGGCAAGCGTCACAGCAGTGCTCTAAAGAGAAGTTAATCGCACTCTACGAGTGTGCGGTGAAGTATAACTGTGATGGAGTAAGGCTATGTAAAAAAAAGATTGGCAAAGGCGAAAAAAATGGGTGATGAGAAAGGTTAATCGCACCCTGTGAGCGTGCGACGAAGGAAAGGGATTTGCGATGAGGTTTGGCTCTGATACCATGTAAGGAGGTATCAGGAATGAGGAAAAATTGTAATTTCTTATTCTAATATGACAGTATTTATAATTACAACAGAGGTGGTCGGCTGTGGTATAACAACCCTGCGACCAACTAACTACAAGTGGGCCATGTGGCTAAATTGCACGTGGGCCCAAGACTAATTTTAACAACAACAAAATAAGCACGTTAAATGAGCACTTCAAATTTTTTTACCTGTCCCTTCATCATCAATACCGCTCCACCACCCTTGCCAGCTTGCCTTCATCAACAATACCACTCCACAACAAAATACTCATTCAAACTCTGCCCACATCTACCCATATAACATCACAGCCACACATGGAGAACATCTCATCCTCTTACATAGTATTATGCAGGGGAGATGTTCTCAATTCACGGGAGAGTTATTATGAGCAGGAGATGTCGTCCGGAGTCGCCTTCTAGCCCCAAACTTGCCGTAGCTACCCACTGCTCCTCTGGAGTGTTGAAGTTCAAAATATTGTTCAAGAAGTACGAGCCATCCATCTAGATAATTCCCATTAAATTAAACTTCGGCAACTATTGTAGCATTGGCTTCCAGAGAGTATTAAACTGCGATCCTCCGGTTGACGTCTGCACTTCGACCCCCTTTCCTATGTCGTGGTATCCTTCCGTAGAGGTTCGTCGGCTTCCCTCATCAGGGCGGCCCCCGGTTGCTGACAACACTGCGATCATTCCCCGGATCTCCGCTAGCTGAGCCTGAATGACTTCATGGCTTTTATCCACCTGGTTTAATCTTTCCTCGAGGTTGGCCATCTCCGCTGCCTAGGAAGGATCCGGCTTTGATACCAGAATGGTATCTAACTTTTCCCAAGACCGAGAAGAAGGCTTGTGCTTGCCTCGAGCTAGTGTTCTCACACGGCTTGCAGATGCAGACGTATTGCAGAAGAAATCTAGAAGAAGAAAATAACAGTCGATGACGATTAATTTTAATGAGAGGTTGGGCTTTTTGTAGGCGTTTCCAGAAACAGTCCATAAACATTTCCTATTTTTTTGCTGTTTTTGAAGGGCGTATCAAGAAATAGCCATATGGATGATTCAGTGTCACCTTTCCTTGATATTTGGGTGCCATTGAATCGATCCAATGGTCAAACCACCCTTACTTGCATATTTTGAGATCCAAACTACCCTTCGAGTTGGATACGGCAACAAATAGATCTCAGGCTCGTTGGCGGGGAAAAGAGTGCAGATGGTCTTTGCGGGAAGAAGTAATAGATACGCAAAAAAAAACAAAAAAGAAAAGAAAAGTSAATATGAACTAGCTTACCAAAAGAAAACGGAAAGAATAGAGGGTCTCATGCATGGTCGACGGTGGTCTTACTAGCGCCAACGAATGGGAGAATAGGTAGATCTCAGGGTCGACGACGGGAAGAAAACCATAAATGGTTTGTGAACAGGGAAGACTTGCGAGAAGAAGAATAGATCTGCATAAAAAATGTC